CCCTGTCTCAGGATGCCCCTGCTCTCTGGTGGCCCAGCCAGAAGCCTCCGCCCACCCCCTCCCCCTCCCTCCAAGGTACACACAGTTTGCACAGCCCCTGCTCCTGTCCAGGCTGCTGCCCTCTCTCCCCAGCTCCTACAGAAGCTTCCAGAGCATTTGCACTTCCATGCCTACTACCCCTTCCCACAGCCCCTGCTACACTACCTGCAGCAGCCAGGGAGGACTTTCCAAAACCACACCTGCTCCGTCTCACCTCTATTGGAACTTTCCAGCTGGTGCCCCAGCTCCCAGGTAATGTGTAGGCTCTTCAGCAGGACATGCAGTGCCACCCACCCCAGCTCCCACCTCAGCCAGTCCACCTTGCCTCTTCTCAAACTCCCACCTCCAGCCACAGTAAGCCTCCTTCAGATTTGCCTCTGAGCCTCTGCTCCTTTCACACTCTGTTCCCTGTCCTGGCATGCTCATCCCCACCTCCTTCTCCCAGCCATCTCCTCTCTAGCTTTCAGATGAGAGGCCACCTTCTCCAGAAAGCCTTCCCTGGCTTCTCCACCCCAGGGCTTCTCTGGCTGCCCCAGTGTAATCACCAGTTTATCCTCCAAGTGCAGGGACACATCATTCCGGCCCCAGGGCTTGGTGAGCAGACCTAGTACATGTCTGTGCATGGAGCATCCCCTGCAGCCCAGCCTCTGGGCCCCAGACCACTCAGAGGGAGGGCCTCCTTCATCCATCTGAAGGGCTACCTAGGGCTGACTCGGCCCGGGCTCCAGCCCCCTTGGCTGGGCACTACCTGGTGGAGGGGGGTGGTGAGACGGTGGCTGGGCTGAGTGGTGACATGCCCACGGCCAGCCATGTCCCTCGGCCTGTCTGAACTTGTTAACTCCAGGGAGAGGATGCTCGGTGCTGCCTGCCGACAGCCAAGGGGCCCCCTGTCAGCTTCCATCAGCGGAGCCCTCCCTCCCCAACCTGCTTCCCATCCCAACTTGCAGGACTGCTAATCTGTCACTTCCTTCAAGAAGCCTCCCCTGACTGCCCAAACTAAACTCATCCCCTCTCAGAGTTCATCCTGCCCCATCATCTGTTTCCTTTGTGGCTCTTACTGGTGACCTGTCGCTACCTCATTCATTGGTTTGTTTCCTGGGTCACTGTCTGTCTCCCTAATTCCCGGGGAAGCCCCATGAGTTTGTGGTCTACCCACTGCCTACACTTACCTGTGCATGCAGTGCACTCAGCCTGGGCCCGGCCCCCAGGAAGCCTCTGTGAAGGCCACCCTGTCCTTGCTCGGAGGTACAGGACGGTGCCCCGGAGGGTGATCACAGTGTGGACAGATGGGCTTGGGCCTGGCAGCGGGGTCCTGGGGGGCCAGCTCTACTCAGGCACTAAATTTCCCAGTTCCCCACACGGCCTGGGCAGACCCCCGGTTCTGGCTTCATGCCTGGTCTGTCTACCTGCTGAGCACGTAGAGTCTCCCCAGTTGACAGGAGGAAAGACTGAGACCCAGGCATGCAGATAGAGAGCACAGACCTGCAGAGCCTTGGGGCCAGACAGGGCATCATGGGAAACCACCTACGCCAATGCTCTTGCTGTCCAGATAGGGAAAACGAGGCACCCCAGGGGGGCAGGACCCACCCAAGTGACTACCAGGGCAGAGCCTCAAGGCCGGGCAAGGGGGCTGCTTTTCCCCTTGTGCCAGCGCCTGACCCTGGGCTCCAGGGAGGCTGTGGAGCTGTCAGGTAGGATCAGCGGGGTCCTTGGCCTCATCTCCCCAGATTTAATTAACAGACCTTTCATCTTTGTCTTGAAGGAATCTGATATCTTCTGTCTTTTTAATTAGCGTTCATTAAGCAAATCAGAACAGGATTCTTCTTCCTTTCTTTGCCCGGAAGGTTTTAACCCTTGGTAGGTGGGCTGCAGTGAGGGCAGTCTGCCATCTCCGCTCACAGCCCCAAGCAGCAGCCCAGGCCTCTGCAGAGATCCCCCCATACCTCCCCCCCCCACAGCCCCCCATCAGCCATGCACAGATACTGGCCCCTCCTCCCACACCACCTCCAAGCTGGCCCCCTGGATTCCTCCCCCACCCCACCTTCCCCCATCCATCTTCCTGAAGGAAAGTGACAATGGCTCTGCAGCTAAAAAGCCTTCCTGGGCTCCCTGCCACCACTAGGACAATGGATTAGGGTCATGGGCAGACTGTGGGATTGGGCCTCACAGCTCTAGGCTGCAGGGAAACTGAGGCTGGGTGATCCATAACTTCTCTGGGCTGCAAAGCCTGGGTTTCTGTCCTGTGTGTGCAGAGGGGCCCCGGCGGCAGGGCACAGGTGCCTTCACTGGGATTTTGGGGCATCCTGCTGGGAGGTAACACACAGAGCCTTCTCTTGATGGACAGTTGGTGGCATGGCTCTTGCTCATGGCCCCAAGGGGGAATGTCCACAGTTCTGCTCCTTCCGGGTCCCTATCCTGCGGTCACACAGGTGTTCAGTGCCTCTTTGTCACACAGATTTGGGGGAGTTATCCCGAAACTTTGTGGTGTACAGACACCCCCCTGCTTAGGGGGCCACACTTTGCTTCCCAGCATTTGTAGGTCCCCATCCCTCCCTGACTCCCACTCCTTGGTCATTTCCTGCTGTGAATGTGTTTTCAGCAAACCACTTCCCCTCCCTGGGCCTCAGTTTCCGTATTTGTCCAGCCAGTGTCCTGGCCCCGGTGACTTTATTCTGGTCCCTACGCCACAGGCTGCCTGGGGACCTCCGCCTAAGTGTCCTTGGCCGCCAGGGGGCGATAGGGGCCAGCCCAGTAATGTGGCCAATGTCGCCACCTGGTGGTCGATCCTGGGTGAACACGGACAACCGGACTGGGTGCTCACGCAGGAGAAACGGGGAAAGTGGGAGCCGGGAGGAGAGCAGGACTGAGGTGGCCAGCAGGGCATCATGGCCCTGCTGCCAGGAGCTGGGCAAGGTCGGTGCACACCAAGCCGGCACCTCCTGAAGGAGCCATCACCCCTCCCTTGCAGGATCAACCTTTGCCAGGCACGTGGCTCCTGCTCATTCCCCAAACATTCCCTGAACCACCCTGGGGACACCAGGGGTAGGCACACAAAGCCCCTGTCCCCATGAGCCCCTCAGCTCCCGCAGACCCTCTGCAAGATGAAGCCTCACCTCAGCCCCACGCCCCGCATTGTCTGGCCTCTGCACCCTCGCTTCAGCCCCAGGACCAACCTCCCCACCCCAGGACTGCAAACACACACCAGACCTGCCCTCCCCAGTCACCTCCGAGGCTTTGCACATGCTGTGCCTCCTGCCCTTCCCCCTACTCATCCTTTACGACTCTGTTTGTCACCTCTTCTTTGGAAAGCATGCTCCCACTCTAGGCAGAAGTAGCCACCCCCCAACCTGCCCCGACAGCCCAAGCCCCAAGGTGTTCATGGATATCTGCACATATAGATGTGCTGGGAGGGAGATGTCGAACTCTCCTTGTGCCCCTGCTCTGGCACAGTGCAGAGTACACAGTGGGCAGGGGTATGTGTTTGCTGAGGAACAAATGACCGTAAGCACACGGCCACCACCTGTCTTATAAAACAGGCAAGAACAAGCCTTGGAACGCCGTTGTCAGGCTGTTTCTTAGCACCCGCACAACCAGACGGAGGGCTGGGTGAGGGGGCAGGGTCTCGCCTTCATGACAGCGATAGATAGCAACGTATCTCACACTCACCCCGTGCTGGGCTTGGGGCCAAGCACTTGGCAGGTGCTTAGGTATTTCCAGGAGGAAGGATTGAGTGCAGGGAGCGAAGTGCTCAGGGGATGGCTGGGAAGACTGGGTGGGCTGCAGCTAAGACACTGCAGACTGACCCACCTGGGAAGCTGCCACCACTGGAGGCTCTGGGAGCTCACCCTCTGAGTGCAAATCTAGGGACCAGAAGTAGGGGTCAAGCCCCCACCGCCCCACAAAGGCCTCTGCACCCCCACAGAGTGGGATGCAGGAAGCATGCTGCTGCAGCAAAGCTCCTCCTGTGTGACCCCTCTGGCCACTGAGGCAATTCACCAGAAGGGCAGAAGACGGCCCCTGAGCACTTCTGCTTTCCAAGTCACCAGCGAGGACATCTGACCGGCAGGGCCTCGTTTGCTTCTGGGACTGTCGCCGCAGAGGCTGCAGCCGGAAAGCAGTCCTCAGCATGCCAGACCATTTGTTTCCATTTTCCTTAGAGTTTTTCTGGAAGGGCTGCTAAGTTTCATCAAGTGCTTCCTCTGGCATCCATTGATGGAAGCCTGTGGCTTTTCTCCCTTGATTCACTAACTGGTGAATCGGAGAGTAAAAGGGGGCGGTGGAGGGTGGGCAGGGAGGGCCTCTCGGAGGCGACACCGTGATGAGGCTAGGTGCCCTTGGTGACGAATATCAAGTTGGGCTCTCTCTGTTTGCTTCGGAAGAAGTCAGAGGTCAGCGGCGGCGGGCGCACGGTTCCGAGCTGACCTGACGGGGAGGCGGGAAGGGCGGGAGCCATCGCCCCAGCCGGCCGGCGGTGGCTCTGCTGCCCAGAGATGTGCCACGGGAGAGGCCCTTCGCGGCGGGGCTGGCCGGAGCCTGGGGAGCAGGTCCCCGGGAGGCGCGAGGCGCGAGGCGCGAGGCGCGAGGCGTGATGCGCGGCCACCACCCGCGCCCCGCGTCCCGGCCGGTCCGTTTGCAGACGGGGACGCCGGGGCTCCGGGAGCAGCTGGGGCACTCCCGGGCGCGTCCACCAGGTGGGGGTGAGCGCCCGGGGACCGCGCGGCCTTGGGGGGCGCCCCCCCCCGCCCCGCCCCGCCCCGCCCCGCCGCGGCCCGCCCGGGGAGGGAGGGGAGGGGAGGGGAGGGGAGGGGAGGGAGGGGAGGGGAGGGGAGGGGAGGGGAGGCGGCCGCCGGGCCGGCCGGGGCAGAGCGGGCGCGCACGGGCGGCGGGCGGAGCGGAGCGGGGCGGACCTGGGCGAGCGGAGCGGAGCGGAGCGGAGCGGACCTGGGCGAGCGGAGCGGAGCGGAGCGGGGCGGACCTGGGCGAGCGGAGCGGAGCGGGGCGTCGGGGCCATGGCGGCGGCCGCGCTCCTGCTGGGCCTGGCGCTCCTGGGGCCGCGGGCGGCGGGCGCGGGGCCGGGCGCGTGCTACGACGGCGCGGGGCGGGCGCGGCGCTGCCTGCCGGGCTTCGAGAACGCGGCGTTCGGCCGGCGCGCCGAGGCCTCGCACACCTGCGGCCGCCCGCCCGAGGACTTCTGCCCGCACGTGGGCGCGCCGGGCGCGGGGACGCGGTGCCAGCGCTGCGACGCCGCCGACCCCCGGCGCCGCCACGACGCCGCCTACCTCACCGACTTCCACAGCCAGGACGACAGCACCTGGTGGCAGAGCCCGTCCATGGCCCTCGGCGTGCAGCACCCCACCTCGGTCAACATCACGCTCCGCCTGGGTGAGCGCCGCGGCTCCGGGCCGGGGCCGGGGGGGGGGGGGGGGGCGCGCTGGGGGCGGGGCGGGGCGGGAGCCTCCCCGAGCCCCTTGCCTCTGGACGCAGGGGCCGTGCCCGCGACGGTTGGCCGCCTCCACCCAGAACTGCGGGGAGACCGGGCCGCCCTCTAGGGCAGGAGCCCCCGGTCGTGGGTCGCCCGCTCGGCTTTGGGGCGCTCGAATCCCCGCGGGGCTGTGTGTGGCCCGGGACGTGTTCTTGGGGCTGGGAGCCGAGGCATTCACCCCATTCACCTCCGGGGAGGTTGACGTCCTGACCTGGCCGCCCCGCCCGCACCTGCGGCCCCTCGGGCCTCTCTGCCCTCTCTGCCCGGTACCAGGGCGCAAGAGCCCTCAGGTCCCTGCGCCCAGCAGCCTCCCATCTGGAAGTAGGAGAACCCCCTCCCCCACCAAGTGCAGCCCCATCTGGGTCCCCCCTGGGCCCCAAGGTGTGCCAGGCGCTGAGCTGGGCACCTTATCTGCCGCGGCCCCTGCAGCCCTTGGGGGGGCGGGGCGGGGAGCGAGCTGGCCACTGGTTCCCACTCCCTTGTCTGCGGATTTGAAATCTTCCCAAACTTTGAAAATTCAAGTATTTTTGTAACCCATTCTGGCTGCTAAACAGGACCCAAGGCTATTTATAGGCCTGTTTATCCTAGTTAGAGTGAATATTCATACATTTTGCTACTGAAATCTCATTTAAGTACAGCCTGTGGGGGCAAACCCAGCTGGGGGTGTTAACACAATCTATGGTATAAGAACTACATCATCTCTCTAAACTGTAAAAAATTGTGAATTCCAAAACACATCCATGGCTGAGCAGTTTGGATATGAGGTTATCCCCAGTTTTCAGATGAGAAAATTGAGGCTCAGAGAGGTTAAGTGCTTTGCCCAAGGACACAGCGGCTAAGTGACTGGATTGGAACACCCAGGTATTTCCAAGGTCTGGAGCATAAACTCCTTTACATGAGCTCGGCCCAGCAACGCCTGGGTGACAGCCCTGTGGGGGCGGCTGGGAGATGACATTGAAGTGGGGTGGGTGGGCACTGAGCCCCTCAGCAGACCGGCCAGCTGTGGCCTGGCACCCCGAGAAGCTCAGTTCCCTGGGGTTCTGTGGCTTCCCCTGGCCTGTTGGGGCTGCTAGATGGGGCGGGGTCTCTGGCGAGGCGGGTGACCGGAAACCAGTGTGGGGAGGGAGTCTGGGGGAGCCGGCTGGACAGCTGGCAGAACCCCAAGGCCCCTGGGAAGGAATCTGGGGCGGGGTAGGGGCTGCGGGGGAGACATGCTGCTCTGTGACCCAGGGCAGGGGGCTGGCTGATGGGTTACATGTGTCGGGGGGACCCAGCAGGGCAGGGGGCTGAGCCCAGGGTCAAAGTGGGGGCAGGGAGGCCCGGTGCGTGTGCATTTGGAGCTGTTCCTGTTTGCTGAGCACACAGGCGGGTGCTTGGCCCGGTGACCCTGCTGAGCTCTGCCTGGGACCCTCACACTCACATCCACTCACATATGTCTGCTCACACTCATGTGCTCATCCACACACCCCCACATACCTACTGACACTCGTACACTCACATTCATAACACATCATTCATACGTGTGTGCTCGTCTGCACACACACACCCACTCACGCTTATGTGATCACCCTCACACACACTCACATTCACAATCTAGTCACTCATACACACATGCACACTCACATACATTTGCTCACACTTATGTGATCATCCACACACACACATCTACTCACTCACATGATCACCCACACACACTTGTGCTCGCATTCACACACTCTAGTCACTCATACACACGTTCATGCATACTCACATACATCTGTCATACTCATGTGCTCATCCACACATTCATGCATCTACTTACACTCATGCTCATCCACACACGCTCACACTCACACACATCTGTCTACATCCATACACACTCACATACATCTACTGACACATGTATGTGCACCCACACACTCACATCTACTTACACTCATACGCTCATCCACACACACTTACACCCTCACACAACTACCCACATTCATACAGATACATTCATACACACATATCTGCTCATGCTCACGTGCTCATCATGGACACACACACATCTACTTACACTCATATGTTCACCCACCCGCACTTACATTCACACAATCTAGTCACTCATACATTCAACACACATTCATACACACTCACATACTTCTGCTCACACTCATGTGTTCATCCCCATACTCACACACATCTACTTACTCATGCTCATCCATTCATACTCACACCCACACACATCTACCCACATTCATACACTCACACACATTCACACACACATACATCTATTCATACTTGTGTGCTTATCCACGTACACAATCTACTCACACTCATATGTTCACACACACACTTATACTTACACCTATCTAGAGACTCATACACTCACATACATCTGTAGACTTGTGTGCTCATCCACACACACATCTACTCATACTTGTGTGCATAAACACCTATACACGTGTATATGTGCAGTCATACACACTCACATTTACTCATAGTCACCCTTACACACATCCACTTAGTCATATGCTAACTCTCACATGCACACATTTACTCAGATAAATTCATACTCACCTTCACACTCACCTCCACATACCCACACACATCTACTCACACATCTATTCACATGCCTGCACCCACAGTGATGTCCACATACTCACCCTCACACATCTACTTATAGTCATGTTCACCCTCATTCGTTTACACTCATACATTCACGCACATCTACTCACTCACATATTCATCCTCACAAACCCACACACTCACTTGCACACTCAAACTCACTCATACAGTTGCACTCAAGCATGCACACACACACACACACACACACACACACACACACCTTACCCTGAGCCAGCGTTCCTTCTGTCACCTTGTGCGGCACCAGGCATACAGGAGGGGTTCCGGGATGTTTGTATGAATGAAGAAGAGAAGACTGAATGAGTGGATGGCAGTGTCCCCTCCTCCGTCCTGTGTTTCTGGGCCCAGCTCAGGACCTTGGTTGCCTGCTTGGGGAGACAGAACAGAGTAGAAATCACAAAATAAGCATTGGGTGCAGGCATGGCTCAGCCACTCACTAGGCAAATGCTGCCGCCTCTTTGTACCCTCGTGTCCCCCCCCCCCCCACTGTGAAACAGGGCTAAGCCTGGCCACCTCCCAGCTGGTTGTGCAGGCTCCACGAGCTCAGGTTGGCCACGTGCTTACAGGAGCTGTGACAGTCCTTGTGTGCAGCCAAGGCCACTCTGCTGAGAACAACTCAGGGCTGAAGTTCCCTGGGGGATGGCCTCTACCCAAGGATTGGGAAATGCCTGCCAAGCTGGCTCTCCAAAGATGTCCTGCCCCTGGGCCCTGTTTCCACACCGGGGGTGCCAGAGACCCATAGCGGCCCCAGATTCAGCCCATTTTGGGTTCCATTCAGCTTTGGTTTGCTCCATGCTGAGCTGTGGATTGCATAATCAGGGGAAGGAGAGGTCTGGGGTGGTCAGGGTGTTCCCAGTGGAGCCCCCCATCCTCCCCTCTGGGTCCTGTGGCCACCTCTGCTGGCTCGGTCTCCTGCTCCCCAGGTCCCCCACTCCTTGGGGCTCATGGGAGGGGAGAGTGGGTGGCCGGCTCTGGCCTGGGGCCCCTGGAGGGAGCAGGGTGAGAGACAGGGGAGGGAGGGGCGGCTGGTCAGCCCCGGGATGGAGGTCGCTGCTTTCCCAGCCCCCTGTGAGCTCACAGACATCTGTTCCAAATCCCAGAGTCGCCAAGCTGAGCCTTCCTGTCTGGGATGAAAGGCAGCAGCAGGGTCTGGCGGCTCCTGGCCCTCCACGGAGGTCCAGGGCAGCGGGCAGGCTGGGGGAGGTGCCTGGGCAGCAGGGATGAGAGACACTATTGGTGGGGCTCCCCGCTAGTGCTAAGTACCCCAGCCCCGCCAGAGTTCTTTTACAGGCAGGGAAACTGAGGCTCCCAAAGTAAAGTCTATTGTCCAGGGTCTCTCAGACAGTACTTGGCAGGCCCTGGGGTCCTGCCCAGATGGTGCTGCACTTGGGAACGATAAGCTGCTGGGTTAGGCTGGTCTGAGCCTTGGCTTTTGGTGAGGGTGGAGAGAATCTTCCTTCTCACTCCAACACTTCCTTGGATTTCTGAGAATCTCCTGCAATAACAGGAAAATCGTTGAGTTCCTGAGCTAGTGAGCGCTGAGCTGTCCAGTGGGGGGGTGAGGGGAGTTGCAGGAGAAAGCAGGTGGGCTCTTGCCTGCCCTCTCTCTCACTGCAGGTCCCACAGCTCGTGTGCAGGCCTTCTCTGTGCCTTTTGCAGTCCAGCTGGCTGCCCACTGTTGACTGAGCCTCGACTGTGCTGGCCTTCGGGTATGTCCTGCCAGGAGACAGGTGAAGCCCAGGATGATGTGAATGAGAATTTATGCTCTGGGAACATACTCAGTGTCTGCGGAAGCTGACAGAAGAGCAAAGGACGTTTCAGGTCAAGGGGGAGATTGCTGTGTGTGTTCTTGGACCTGGCGGCCTGGATGGCTGGAGCGGAGGGGACCAGGGGGAGACCCTGGGGGCTGGACGTCAGGAGGCCCCTGCCGGGCCCTGCCAAGCCCCTGAGCCAGCTGGGTGTCCAGAGCTTTGGCTGCATGGCGTCTTCCTTTTTGAGTGGGCGGCCGTGTTTGCGTTGGCCGGGGCTGGGGCGGGGGGGGGGGGGGCTGCGGCCTCCTGCCTTCTCCCTGGAGGTTCTGGCTGGAATGCTGGGCTCTATGCGGATCGAGGGTCAGGGCAGCAGCCTTGCTTGGCCTCCGCGCACAGAAGCAGCCACCCCGCAGCCCCTGGGCCCAGCTGGTCCTGGCCGCCTCCCCCTGGTCTGGGCTCCTCAGGACCCACCGGATTCGCAGGAGCCGGAAGTCCCAAAGTCCAGTTGAGCACCTACCATGTGCTGGGCTCTGTGCCAGGCC